CGAGATACTCTCGGTAGCTTGCCGGACTCACCGAGAGGGGCAGAGGAATCGAAATCGGGTCGGCCCGGTTGGCTGCGTGCAAGGCAAATGCTCTACTCGCTGTGCTATCGCTCCAGCCCTGATCATAGCTTCTCGGCCTTTTGGCTAAGATAAAGTGTAGATCTGGCATTGACTCTCAAAATCCCAAACATTTTGAAAGGGCATAAAAATATTTTTCTTGGATAATATTTTTCATCTCACCTGACCTCCACAACTCACATCTTGATAAATAGAAAGTTACCCGTATAAAACTTAGATTATCATGTAGAAACTCTCTTTCACTACAACTTTAATTCTCCTCTTTAGCTGAATAAACTGTATATAGAGTAACAAAGCCTTCCTGATAAAGAAAAAGAATAAGCTTTCTCTGATCTGTGCTGTATTTTACAATATTCAATTATTTTCCTGGGTTGTATCTGGTCAACTCTGCGCTGGAAACATTAAGACTGTAAAGAGAGCTTATGCATACAAAAGTTATGTCACTTTCTTAAATTGTTCTTAATTGAGGGCAATGATATAAGTCTCCATATTTTAAAGGGAACTCCATACCAGATTAAAATGATAACTTTCATGTTTACAATGGCTGGTCAAGTGCCTCACTACATGAATTTGGAAATAAAAGGATATTACTTTATGCCTAAGGATATGAATGAAATAATTTCTTTTCTAAATTATAGTAACTTAAAAAACATCAAATTGCCACTATAGTACTGTAAGCCTTTAAGGATTTCTAACTCTAAACTGATCTAACTCATGGATAGGGGCTTTGGCAGATGTGGGGTCATCTGATATGCCTGCCACTGATTTAAAATATTTGAAATCATGATGTATCTATGCTTACATCATTTTTAAAGTGTTTCATCTATATGGGATATATCTTATTGACAGGGACGTCTCCTATCATCTTGGCTAGGAACACATAATCACATCCCATTATGGTGAACACTCAGAGTTTATCCAGATTATTTCCTATTCTGGAATTTTGTCAGCTTAATACTGTTTGACACACATGGTCTTAAATTTTTCCATTCTAAATATACTGCCATTTTTGGCATTCATCTAGATCTGCTCTAATGTGACTGGCATCACACTGAAACTGTTCACTTTGTTGAATATTTTGGGGGGTGTCAGGTATCAAACTTAGAACTTCATACTTGCAAAACATGGATACCTCTACATCACTTAGCTGCATTCCCAGTCCCTCTTACTTGCTTAAATTTTAAATGTTTATCACATTATTTCAGGTTAGACTGTTGTTGACCAAAGAAAGATCTACATTTCTGACTTTTTCTAGATTCTTTGTACACAAGTGAGATTATTACACATTAAGATGTTTATTTGATATTATATTTAAGTAGTAAATCAATAATTTTTGCTTAAATAGGCTTAGTTGAAACATAGCCAGTTTGTTATAGACAGGCAAATTAAAAAGACTGGAAAGTTTATTGACTTAGGTTGCAGAGCCATTAGCATTGCAGCTCTTGGCCATGTAAAATATTTATTGGCATTTTAAGACTAGTGAGTTTAAAAAAAAAAATTAAACATTGGGTCTGGATGCAGTAGTACAGTGTCTTTGTGTTTCATTTCATAGTCAGACTCTGAGAATTAAAAGTTCATCTGAGAAATACAGAGAGGTAATACCCCCTAAATGCAGGCACTGTTGGCTTTCTCACATAGTAAGCACCCAACATATGGTGCAAAGCATTTATTATATTTACTACATTTACTACACTGGCTTCCTTCCATGGTGTGTCTAGGTAATATGAGGTCTCTTTTGGCTGAAAATGTACAGATAGGTTGCACACTAATTGTCAGATGGGAAAGCTGTCATCAAATGAACAACGATGGGTCTGGAGTGATAGTATAGTAGATAGGATACTTGCCTTGCAAGTGGCCAACTTAATTTTGATCCCCAGGACTCTTTATCGTCCTCTGAGCCTTCCAGAAGTGATCCATGAGCACAGATCCAGGAGTAAGTTCTAAGCACTGCCAGGTGCAATCCCCACCCCACCCCCCAAAAATATAGTCTTGTGTATTGGCCACCTGCAGTGCTCCTTGTATTTCACAAAAAAATTCAGATTTTTAAAATTGATCTCTGACATAAAGGTCAGTGAGCTTTTGTCTCTGAGAGGAGGCACTATTATTTCTTTATTTGATGTGTTGGGGGTGACCACCTTACTCAGGGTCCTGTAGGTTGCTTCCAGTGATATTTGGCCAACAACGTTTGGTGGGCGTGGTACTAGAGCCTGAAGATGCAGAGCTGTGCCAGTGCCAACCATGGCCATCTGGTTGAAAGTTCGGGGGGACCTCTGGGGACATATCTGGTAATCAACAGGGGCTAGGTGGTGCCAGGGTTCAAACTTGGATTTGGATACATGATCTGATTTTATGCTCTCTCAATTTATTTTCAAAGATACTTCTCTGGCTAATGATTTCGGTACTATCTCACATGTTCCTCTTGGTGTTGATTTTAATAGTACAATATTAATTTTGAGACTTTTTAGAATTGAGTCCTTGAATATTTATTTGTTTTACTCCATGAACTTGATTGTTTTCATTTGTTCTAGGGTCACACCTGCTGGTGCTCAGGGAGCCATATGGTGCCTGAGGTTGAACCAGGGTTGGTCACACGCAAGGCAGGTACGTTGATTCTTGTACTATTTCTGTTACCCTGAAATTGGTATTTAGGAAATTTAAAGTCTTGAATACTACTATTTTATTTCTCTTAAAGTGGATTTCAAGAAGCTCAATATTTAAATCTTATTTTGCTTAATGCAGTTAGTTTTATTTTTAAATATTTTAACATCATTGACTCAGTGGTGACCAGGAATGTCATAAAACCAGGTCCAGCGATCCCTTTCCTATGTAGGTGATATCCTGCTTCTTCTCTTTAGGACACTTATTGTTATTCAGTCAACCACTCTTCCCTCACGTCTGTTTATCTTCTTCCTGCTAAAGAATCACAACAGAAAATTCTGCACTTGAAAAAATGAACAACTAAAATAAGCAAGCATGTGACTAATCATGAGCAAGACATTTTAATTTAAATCTTGACTCAAGCCTCTAAGGAAACTACTAATATGCAATCCTACTCACTCTTCAAGGAACCTCCCTGTATTCTACAATCGACCCACCTAATCTTGGGGTTATTTTAAAGAAGCAAGTATGCTGCCTTCATAACAGATTGAATTCAGGAAAAAGTACAGCAGCTTCCTTCCCTGGTGTGTTTAGTAGTGATGAGTAAACCGGTCTGGTAACTTTTCAGCTTGCTTAGTTCCGACATAGTCTCCTACTTTCCCACAAAACTACTGTCACTGTCACTGTCCTCCCGTTGTTCATCGATTTTGCTTGAGCGGGCCCAGAAACATTGTGAGACTTGTTACTGTGTTTGGCACATCAATACGTCATGGGTAGCTTGCCAGGCTTTGCCGTGCGTATGTTTACTACTAGTATATGTTTACTACTTAGTTCTACATTCCTACAGGCTAGAGTACCAAGAGCAGTCTGTAATTCAATGGCTCTGTAACCTAGCCAATTCTTTTTTATCATTTGATGATAATGCAGCTGAGATTTACCAAGTGAATTCTTTTATTCCTGCTACCCCCAAGTAGGGCATACAATACACTACTGTATCATATACCCTACTCAATAATAGTTGATAATAGTTCTTCTTTGTCAGTGGAAAATATCATGTTATCTGTCATGTCAGTATGTGATTCTAAATGCCATTTTAGTGTTCGCTAAATGTAGTGATAAGAAGTTACCACGTAGAGAGACTGGAGCGATAGCACAGCAGGTAGGGCGTTTGCCTTACATGCGGCTGACCCAGGTTAGATTCCCAGCATCCCATATGGTCCCCTGAGCACTGCCAGGAGGAATTCCTGAGTGCAAAGCCAGGAGCAACTCCTGAGCATTGCTGGGTGTGACCCAAAAAGGGAAAAAAAGAAGTTGCCACATAGAAAAGGGAACAGCTTGCTTTTTTGACCCCCAAGAATCCTGCCGCAAGTCTTGCTAACCCACTGATATTAATATCAAGATCATTCTGATTCTATTTTGACCATTGTCTCCATCAGGAAATTTCTACTGTTCCCTGTATAAAGTATATAGGATTCTTATACCTTCATTTTAAAACATTCTCTGAAGTCATAGCAAGGACAAGTAAAAAGTCACCATTCTATTTAGGACTCACTAGTTGTTTTCAAAGTTCTTGCACATTGGTCGTGTGCTTTTGTGTGATGTTCACATACACTCCCTAGAGTGAGGAAACTGGGGGTACAGAGACTGCCAGCTGCTAGTTCATGTGCCTTCCCATTCATCCTTCTTGAGCTCACTGAAGGCTGTTGACTCTTAATTTGGATGACCTGGGGGGGGGGGCTCTACTAGTTATTTTACCCAGGAGAGGAGCACCCAGTGTCTCTGACTCTGGGGTTCTGGGTATAGGCCAGCGTTTGCCTTTGTTGTGCCTCACAGAGAACCTCTCTAAAGCCTCATATTTTCTGAGGTTTCCCAAAGGTCTCTAGTGAGATTGAGTCACAAGTGCCTGTAGCGGTACCTGTTCTTGAACATACACTGAACTAGCTTTCTTCCCTGCTACATGTCCTCATTTCCACCAGGGCTTCTTGAGCTCACCTTCCAAATGAACTACTTGCATCTAAACCCTTGTCTCAGGGCCTGCTTCTGTGGAAGCCCAACCTTAAGCAATGGAACATGAAGATGAATACATTCTACATACAACAGGGTACTTGATGAAAACCAAGCTCAGGATCGGGAACTTCTAGCACCTCAACAATATAAGCTTGCTTCTTGCCAAGAACTGGCACTTGGTGGAATTGGTACTAGGATTTTGGGGCCAAAGGAAGATGCTATAAATGAAGCAAAGTTGTTTAAGAGTTACTTTTTGCTTTTTAGGAATACGGTCACCACTAGCATCAGGTGTAAGTAGAAAAATGGATGGTAATTACCTAGCATGACGAAAGGGACTCCCAGGAAGGTGGAATTGTATTTCCCACCGGTAAGATTGATGATCCCGGCCGCAGTGAGAGTGGCCAGACTTATGGTCACCAACCCGAGCAGGCCTAACCAGGGTTTGCTGCGGACACAGTCCTGCATAGAGCAGCAGAGGATAGCCATGGTGACCACCAGGATCAGGCTGGTGAGCAGGTAACGTTCTGATACACGGCTAGTCTTCTGGAAATCTTCCCTCAGCGAGGAGGATGTGTAAGGGTAGATTTTGATTTTGTCGTTTGATTTCTGAAACAGTCGGACAGTGTCACAGAAGCTGGACTCCCACCTCTCAGCCACCATGTCGTTCAGACTGTTGATTGACTGCAGGTAGTAGGTGAGCTGGATGGCCTCTGCAGATTTCACTCGGTCCTTGCTGTGCACGGTGACACCGCCAAGCTGGTGCCCATTGTAGACTGCCCGCCCGTTCTTCAAGTGAGTGATCGGGTAGGTGATAGCAAAATTAGTCCGGTTGGTGGCCCGAGCGTTCTTGAGCTCCTCCAGGACATGCACTATGTCATCCACGATGCAGCTCTTATCATTATTCAGGACACATATGTGAGCGAATGTATAATTAAAACCAGGCCTTGGAACCTGGATCTTGGTCACAGCAGTATGCAACTATGGGGGGGAAAAAGAAAATGTTTATTACCAAAAATAGGATGTTAGTAAGTGACATTAGCTTAGTGGATTCAAATAACTCTATGAGAGGGAGGGAATCACTCATTTCTAAGCTTGAGGTCAAATGAAACATAACTTTAGAACAGAAATAACAAGTTATAATGCAAAATATACACTTGACTAGTGATCCTCTCAATGTGATTGTTGACCCAGACGTATCAGCACAACCAAAGAATTCATCAGAAATGAAAATTCTTGGACCCCTAGCTCAATTCTAGTAAATCAGAATCTCTGAGATGGGACCTAGGAGTGTAGGTTTCAGAAACCCTCCAGCAGATTTAGAAGCACCAGCATTATTTCCACATGTTCTGTTCTTTACTTGTAACTCAATTGGTCTACAATGACTCACAGTCTTCTGTAAGACCACTGTTTAGTTTTCTTCTGGAAAATGTAAACAGTGAACTAAGTTACAACTTCAAATGCAGATGTCCTCTGCATGCTTGTCCCTTAACTGCCTATCTGTAGGGTGGAGAAATGATTCAATAACTGCTATAAAAGACAAGAGGTTTACTATGAGAACCCTCTTTTCTCTAACTTCACTTGTCTATATATAAGGAAAGGGCATTCTAACTGCATGGACCTGTTTGGGATACGTGAGAATCATGCTAATGGGTACAGTCAGATATACTCTACACCCCTGGCCACCAGTCCAATTTGCCATGCCCATATTCTGTAGCCCTGCAGTTGAATTACACAAGGAAATATAAGCACTCCTTTAGCAGCCACAACTATGGCTGCTAAATTCATACCCATACAAGTGGGTATGAATTATTATTTATAAAATAAATAACTCTAGACCCTTTGTACAGATTCATTTAATTGCTTGAACAAACTATAATCATATACAAGTGTTAGCCTTGTTTTACAGGTGAGGAAATTGAGATATACCAATCTAGCCATTTGTCCAAAGGCATACAGATAGGAAGAGTGACTTGGATTATGTCAGGTAGTTTGGTCCCATACCTGTGCTCTTAGTCCCTGACCCTAATTCTGTAGATTAGGACTGCCTAACCTAGTTATTCAGCAGCTGAATGAAGGCTCTTATCAACATCTAATTCCTGCATTTGTACTTTCACTATCTGAGAAAATGATGGAGAAAAACAGCATTCTGGTGGAGGCTGTGTGTTAGAATGTTGTATGCATGGAAACCCTACAATTAATGGTATTGGAAATCACATTTCTGTGAAGTGTGACCAGTGTTAAAAATGAGTTGTATAGTTGAGTGTTAGGTGAATGAATGCATCTAGAACCATGCTTAGCACAGAGTGAGCTCTCCCACGAGCAGTAATGGTTGTTTTGCATATCTGATGAATGAAGAACATATCATACATAAAGGAAATAAAGTTTAACATCCAGTGTTGCCATACTGTAACTGTATCATTATAACTCTAACCTTCAGAACATCACCAGGACCTGATATGTTTTCTCTTCAGTCTGCTGGAGTTGGATTATTTGCTAAGACATTTTGCTGTGTTTTGCCAGAGTGAGTGGGATATTATGTTGTTGAAATGTCTTAAGGTTTCCAGCTATCATAGTGCTATAGTTAGTACAACAGAGAAGAGTTGTTACTCCTAATCCTCAGATGCCCCTTCGACATCTCGTCATGAACACTTTGTCACATTGTATTTTGGTGGAAGAGACTTCTTTTATACACACACACACACACACACACACACACACACACACACTCCTTCCAGATACACCTAAGAGACCAGTTTCACAAAACTGTAATTATATGCTTAATTTTGGTTTTGATGCTTGTGGATTAATGGTGGAAAATAGTATTCAGTAGTTCGAAACTGTGCATTTTCCACTGATTCTTCTCTAAGCATACACTGGATTTTGATCAAAAGAACTCTAAAAAATCTAAAGTAGGTTATTTTAGAAGAGAGAGAAACCAAAAAGAATTTAAAGAGAAGGGAGAATTTTGATAAAGAGGTACAAGACTTTGAGGAAAGATTTCAGAACATACTAGAAAAGGAGTGGTATTAAAAGCATGCATATGTGTAATATTTAGTGAATTGTTTGTTCCCATGAATGGTCTAATAAATCTCCCTTAAAGTGATTACTAAATATGTCAGGAGAAAAAGATTGCCAAATAAGATGGTGTTAAACTACAGGGCAGAACCAATTATAGCAAGGGGATATTTCCTATCATTCTTCAAAACAATGCTGTCCTGCTGGGTGGGGCATTGAAAACTATTTAATGATATGCCAGCTCTACAGATCTACTGCTCTGACCCCCTGGGACCACAGACAGAAGAAATCAGACACTTGGTTAACCTCTGTATCACCAGTAACTCAACTGAAGTTGGAAAGGGAAGATTTCTTAACTCAGTACAGAGGTGCTGTGAGATGCAGCTGCTTTGAATTTCTGTTGGAGAAGTGGGTTGTGCATGTGTCACTCTTGCTTTTGAGTGGCAGGAAGATGCCAGGTGATAAAACAACCAGAAAGGGAGTACTGGCTGGGACTACCCACCTAGCAGGGGGTGTCTTTGCATTTCTCCTGTGGGATAAGAGCTAGACTTTCTAACTACTTAGTCCTGATGTTTTTTATGATTACACTTGTGTACACATGAAATCCACTGTTCATAGTCCACATAGTCAACAGACATATTGCACATGCTACATGAACATTTACATGTTTAGGGTTTTAGAATGTCCTGATCAGCTTGCCTAAAGGAGCACTGTTCCAGACCATAGAGCAGTAAAAATGCATATTCTCAGAAATATTCACAGGGCAAAAGGAAATCAGAGATCAAAGCTATGCCTCATATAATTAAAAAAATGACAACCCCAGTTCACACAAATTTTTATTACTCCTATAAGTAAGAGATCCTGTCTCAGAGAAGGAGTAAAATATGAGAAAGTAATCATTCTCCTTTAATATAATCTAGATCTGTCATTTAAATCAACATAATTTATAATCCATGTTTCCATAACTGTACATATATTTTAGATTATTGACCTAATACATTCAACAAGTACTCACCAAATATACTGTGTTGTCAATAATAGGATAGTTTCTCTGAATTTAGTGTCCTTACACTCATATATGGAAAATTCCATAACAAAAATAAAGTTTAAGACAAAGGGAATATCCTAGTAGTAGACAAAGCTAAGCATTTTATACTATAGTATCCAACCCAATGTCAATCCTGACTATAGGATTTGTTATTACTTTATTGTAAAATAGGTCAAAATTGAATGTTAAGTTGAGGTTCATTCTAAGACTGGAACACATACCACTGAAATTATTAGCTTTGATTTCCGTACCCTTCTGGTTAAGAATGATAATGGAACCTAGTCCACTAAATACTTTCTATACAATTAAACAAGTTACTCAGGAGAAATCTCTATGGAAATGGTTAAATGATTATCCTTGTTTTACAGCTAGAATGACTGAGGTTTATAGAATATCAATAAATTACCTAAAATGAGCCAGTAAATAAAGGGCAGATGCAGGATTGTCAATCAGATCTTACTCTACATCAGGACACTTAGCTCTTGACCAACAGATCTTAAACAGGGAGGACAAAGAGGACTTGGGAAACAGTGAAGAATTGTCAGTTTTTAATACATCTGTTCAAATGACCATCATGGATATGACTGAGCTCTGGGATGGTCAGTCACACAGGGTCCAAGGATAGACCAATAATAATAGTAAAGACCAATAGCCAAATTTCATGTTTAGAGTGCAACATGACATGACAGTATTAATATGTAATAAAAGGGACTCATTTTGAGTTTACTGATGTTTCTTATTTTCCACCTAGACCCTTCAGTTGACAAACCTCAAAGCTATGAGAGCACAATGGAAACCTGGAATTAGTTCAGGCTTGTCATTTGTTTCCTTTGCTTATATAGGCATGTCAAAGACCCTTGTGATGTCACACTACTTCATCAGTCCCAGGGTTTTCAGTAAAAAAAGATGGTCTATCTAGATCATTTTTTATGGACAGACATATTTAACATGACCTAATTCTGAGTGAAAACAAAAAACTATAAACCAGATATCTGGTGAGATAAAGTTAATAAATACCCAATTTAAAAATTTATTACAGGTATTTGAAGTATGTCTTTCTAATTCATTGAAGTTCTTTTTATGTCAGTGATAGATATGATAGTTGATGAAGCCTGGAAAGAAAATCATAAGATAAGGAAAATAGATTTATCGTGGGGGGGGGAAGATTCCCTTCTTGGAGTGCTTTCCCTTTCTGGGGAGCAACTGGCTTTTCTAATCCCCTTCTGCCAGAGCCTGGGTCAAAGCCAATGTGTACTGCCAGTCACGACAGGCCAGAGTCTAATTTCCTCTCGGCCTCTCCTTGGCACACTCGGATCTTCCTCAGAAGACAGCAGGGGCACCTTGTATAAGAGAGTCCAGAAGGGACTTCGGGGGAAAGCAGTATCTTCCCCTGATCAAAGATTAACGTAAGAAAAATACCTATGCGTTCAGGGGATCCAACTAAGTCTTTTTATGTTTGTTTCTTGTTGAAAAGGGGAGGGTGGCAGACCACCAGGAAGCCACTCTGCTGGGCAAAGCAAAGAACTCACTCTGGGAGCAGCCTTAACTCCCAGCAACTTCACCTATGCAAGGAGACTGTCTGGAAGGGGGGATGGAGTTCCAGTCTCTGCCAGTGGGGATGGTCTGATGATACTGCCTTCCTCGGCTCTCTTCTCTTCCTTATCACACCTACTGCATCCCCCTTCTGTTGCTTCCAAAGAAGCTTCACACATTAAAACCATGGAAAAGGGGAGCTCATTGGTTTGCCTTTCTGACCTAGATCATTCACTTCCCTCCTTCCCCAAAAAACACTAACTTAAAATTGCTTTAAAAATGCTTTCAAGGAATATCTGGCTTTCATCCCCCAACAAAATAGGAATTTTTTTTGTATCCCTCCAAATTCCAAGTCTTGATATGGTTCTGTGTTTTACCATTG